GTTTGTTTTTTATATGCATATTTTCCAATATTATTGCAGGTCTTCATTTCCTTTTTAAACTCATATTCTGTTGCTGAGCAGATACGGTTAAGGGATTATGGAGTTCTGGATTTTGATGCTGGTGATGCTCGGAGGCAGCCTCCTGTTGATACCACATGGCAGCAGGTGCTGAAAACTTTATTTTATTATATTTTTCTATGAACTTAGTTATATTTCCTTGTTTCTTATCGTTGATGTTTTTGTTTTGAAATTAATCACAGCTTACTAATATATTTGATTAATTTCTCTTTATTTTTTTAAATTAACATTTATGATGGGCCTAAATAAAAATCTTGGTTTCCCTCTTCAATTAGTAATTTAGTTTGTAACCTTTATTATTACAAATGCTAAACACTTTATACAGTATACTGAAACATAATTTGAGTGAGGCCTTGTGTTTTTACTTTTGGTGTTTGCTGCTAGGCTTCTTGAATGTCATATTTTAATTCATGAATAACTCCCACGAGAATTATATATGTTGAGATATCCAGTAGTAGGAGAGTTAAAGTGGTGTGCTCGATCTATATGACTAGTTTGATGGGCATTATTGTATTGTCATATTTTATAGAATTCTGATGCTGTATTGGTATTGCGTTATTCATATTGTATGGGAAAAGGTATGTCAGCAGCTAATAATGCAGGAAGGCTTCTCAAACTAATATTTTGATTAGCCCTTCATATTTTCATTTTTCCTCAGACAACTCGAGACTTGTGCTCATTTTACTAGTCTCTTCCTTCACATGCTGGAGCAATCTAAGTTAATTTTTTAAATGCATTTACAGTAACTGATTTGTAATTGCAAATCAAACAAAAAGAAATTGGGAATAATGATACATTTTTAATTTCTCTTTTCTCTGTTAATTTAATGGACGTGCTAGATCTAATGCTTATACATGTTCTTTCCCTTGGAATGAGCTTTAATATTTTCTCGTGCCCTGTTTATTTTGAATGACTTGATTTTGTTGGCAGATATATTTTTGCTTGAGGTCTGGGTATTATGATGAAGCAAGAAATGTTGCCCTCTCTTCCCGTGCATCACATCAATTTGCTCCACTGGTATGGACTTTGGTCACTTTTTTTTCTATTATTTTTTATAGTGGAATCTTTCTCAGTGATTCATTCTTTTGACAGCTCACAGAGTGGATCAATACTGGAGGTATGGTGCCAGAAGAGATTGCAACTGCTGCATCAGATGAATGTGAAAGAATGTTGAGGACTGGTGATCGCATAGGTCGAGCTGCATATGATAAGAAAAAGTTACTGCTATATGCCATCATATCAGGATCCCGTAGACATATTGATCGCTTGCTTAGAGATCAACCAACTCTCTTTAGTACCATCGAGGATTTCTTGTGGTTTAAATTGTCAGCTGTGCGGGACTGCCCTAGTGGATCAACATCCATTGTTCTAAGTGATGGTTTGGTACCATACAGTTTAGACGATTTGCAGGCATACCTGAATAAATTTGAGCCATCATACTATACGAAAAATGGAAAAGATCCTCTGGTATATCCTTACATTTTGCTTTTGAGCATCCAATTGCTTCCGGCAGTATTATACATGTCTAAGGAAACAGGAGATGAAGGATTTAACATTGATGCTGCCCACGTATCAATTGTGCTGGCTGATCATGGGGTACTATCAGAAGGTACAGTAGCTGGGCAAAAGTTGGGGGTGATGGATGCTTGTGCGGAAGTTTCTAGCATAATCATGCAGTACGGATCTATGTATTTACGTCTTGGTGATCTCCAAATGGCTTTAGAATATTATGCTCAAGCTGCTGCTTCTGTGGGTGGTGGTCAGATGTCATGGACCGGTAGAGGTAGTATTGATCAGCAAAGGCAGAGAAGTTTGATGCTGAAGCAACTCCTAACTGAACTTCTGTTAAGGGATGGTGGCATATATCTTTTGCTTGGTGCAAGAGGTGCAGGAGAAGAAGGTGAATTGGGCCGTTTCGTGACTGATACAAAATCAAGGGAGCAATTTTTAATTGAGGCTGCTTGCCAATGTGAGGAGGCTGGGATGTTTGACAAAGTAATTTCTTTCTTTTATATTACATCTTGATTCCTTGACAAGTCTTGCTGATGATCTTTTTTGTACTTATTTTACCTTCATTGTTTATAACCGTTTTTAATATATGTTCCTTATTTTGTAACCCTTTTTTTCCTGGATCACTGGGTTTTCATCCAATCCTATTGTTGGTTATGCTTATTTGGGATTTATTTTTATTTTTCTGGTGTTCAGTCAATAGAAATTCAGAAGAGAGTGGGTGCCTTTTCATCAGCGCTGGATACCATTAATAAGTGCCTTTCTGAAGCTATTTGTGCTCTTTTCCGTGGTAGAATAGATGGTGAGAGCAGGACTGCTGGCCTCATTCATTCTGGCAATGAAATTTTGGATACTTACACTTACTATCCACGTGTCAGGTAATGTTGGGACTTTTGTCCTATCTCATTGTTCTATGCATGGTTATGCTTGGGTTTAGGTGTTGTGGTATCTATTAGCATGGTCAATTGGTTATCTAATATGTTATGCAGGCATGTTTTTTATGTAAGAACTTTGAAACGAGTCATGTTAGCTTCTATGCTTCTAAATTCAAGCCGGATACCAATTTATCACTACCTTCACGTACAAAAACAATTTTGAGTTGCAAAAACTCATTTGACAAAAAATAAAATAAAATAAAATAAAATTTATACCACTGCTAGATGGGCTATATTTCAATGATGAAATCTAAGTCTGTTCTATTGGAAATCTCAATGGGCAGTTTGATTATTGTTTTAGTTGCCGAAGCTTTCAGAATACTAGGTGTTTAAGATGTTCCCTGTAAATGAATTATGAGACTAGGAATTTGGGTTTTGACTCTTTGAATTTATTTCGTTTGATCAATGGTTGTTAACTATTCTATATCTTGACATTTCTTTTATTTAACATGTGTCCCAAGATTAATTGAATTCCCTCTGCAGCCCTCAAGAGAGAGATTATGTTTTTGCGCAGCAAACTGTGTTAAGACAACTTGAGGCAATATTGTCAATTCACAAGTTGTCAAGAACAGGGAATTATGTGGATGCACTAAGGGAGGTTGCTAAACTCCCATTTCTCCCTCTAGATCCTCGAGGTCCTGATATCGCTGTCGATGTGTTTGATAATTTATCTCCACATGTACAAGCCTGTATTCCGGATCTTTTGAAAGTTGCTCTCACTTGTCTGGACAATGTGACAGACACAGATGGATCACTTCGTGCCTTAAGGGCTAAGGTATGTATTGAAAAGGAGAAGAATCTTGTATTATCTTGCTGATTTCTTTGTATAATTGCAACGTGTGTCGACAGTCTAATACAGCTATGGTGTTTAGGGGCTTTGTTTTTGGTTATTTGCAAAAATGATACAGTAGTATTGTATTGCTGAGTAAAGAGTAGGGAGAAGAAAATATATGTCCTTGTTTATATGTTAATGCAAGAAAAGAAAGAAAATGACAATAATGAAAGTTTAGTTAATTTGATACAAAATTTAGCACCATATCAAAGTTTTGTAAAGAACTATACAGTGAGGTATAAATTAATTGTGACATAGTATTTTACATGCCTATCCATTATACTCAATGTTCCATTCATGCTTTCGATGACAAGCAAAAGCGTGGAAATTTTTTTATCAAGCTTCCATAGTTTCTTCTTGAAATATTAAAAATGATCTTCTTATGTCAAGCAGTTGGTTAGCTATTTATTCGCATCCAATTGAGTTGTTAAACTGCTAGTTAATATTTCATTTGTGAATGGAAGTTCTAGTCTCCTAATGATTGAATCTCCCTGATGCAGATTGCCAGCTTCATTGCAAATAACTTGAAAAGGAACTGGCCTCGTGATTTGTATGAAAGAGTGGCCCAGAGCTTGTGAAAGCACTATAACAACATGGGATTTTAGTTAGTTCGTTGACTTGTAGAAGGCAACATAATTTGTCTGATGAAGGTTTGATAGTGCATGAAATTGTAAAGTAATATGGGTGGCCTCTCTGCCTTTTTCCTTGTGTACACCTCAAATAGTGGCCACCATTCAATTACATACCAAGCTATGCCTTCCCATCCAAATGGAAACTTTCTTTTTGCCCATTTCTGATCCTTTATTTTGGACACGAAATTTCTTTTCTAACTAGGTGGCATGTCGCTATTTTTGTACTCAAGAGGGACTATATAAGTTCATTTATGATCAACTAGCTTTTACTACCCAATAATATGATAACTACGTAGTTTTTTATGATAACTTTTGTTTTCAGATCAAATAATACATCTTTTATGTTATTAATATTATTAAAATTATATATTTATTATGTTTTTCTTTTTGGAGGTTTGATTATACAAAATATATACCCTAAGCATTCAAGTAATGTGGCGCCGAGGCTCCTAGGTGAGGAGGTGCAAAATTTTAAATGATTTGTTTAAAATTTTAAGGATATGAATGTGAAATAATGCAATTTAGATATTAAATTGACAATTTTTTTAAAGGAAGGGGATGGATTTACCCCCTCCCTACGGCGTGGCTTCACCGTTACATTTAGTATAAAATTTGGAAAATAACATTAAAACTTGGTTTTCAAAATTAACTCCTGGAGTTTTGATATATTATTAATTAATGTAATGTAATTGTCAAAAAAAAAAAAAGAATGCAGAGGTGAATGTAGTATTTTAGTGGTAGCATTTGTAATTTTAATGAATAAAGGTGGGGTCTATTAAGGGCCCATGCATTCTTTGTGGGAATTGGAGGGAGGAGATTTTTGTGGAGAAAAAGGCGGTTGAATTGAGTTAGTCTTAAAAATAGAAATTCACTGTTTTTGAAAAGTACTAAGCAGCTCCTTGAATCGATGCACTCTGATTACGATTTCCTGATATTATAATGGGGGAAAAAATACTAGTGATAAAAACAAAATCTTGCAGTAATCTGGTATAATAACGCACGTAAATTCGATGGATTGCTCGTTTTCATTTTCTCGTATTGACAAAATAGGGTTATCCCCGCGGTAAGATAGAACATGTAAAACTCAAACTTGTGTATCCCTGTCTCCATCCTCTATCTCATCATATTGGGTATTGGGGCCTCCTCTTTAAAGATTTGCCGCCATGTCTTCAACAAGGAAATGTGCTAACTTAATATGCTCCTTAGCATTTCTAGTTTATTTCGCTGTCATCATCTTTCAATTCCCAATTTTCAGGTAACACTTCTTTTATCGACCCCATTTTTATGTCACCCAGGCAATATCATATCAATATGCCCCAAAACTTCGTTTGGAAATTCCCTGTTCGGTTCAGTTGTACAAGTTGAGAATGAGAAACAAGGGGGAAACGAAAGAAAAATTAAGATTTTGAGCGAACATGTTCAGATTTGTGGTGTTCTTTTTATGTAATCATTCTTGTAGTGTCGGAGGTTGCAATTGAGTTTGACGTAGCCACATTTTATTACTTGTCTTCTTTATCATCTTACGTTTTTTTTTTTTTTTGGTGGTGGATTTTATCTTTCGCTTTTGCAAACTCTCAGAATGAGATCCTGAATCATTTTCCTGGAAATGAGGACTTTCCAATTTCCATAGAGACGATTCGATGTTTAGAAATCATGTTTCGCTCTTTCTGATGTATAATTTAGTAATTTATCCTTTATAAATGTAGCATCATAAATAAACCTGCAAAAAGTTACAGAAAATGGAACTCTTAAATAGAAAAGTAAATAAACAAACAAAGAAGTACATGCTGGAGATTCACTAGGTTCATTCAAATGTCAAATTCAAATGCTGGGAACAAGCTTTATATGTTACCCACGAACTCTGCTGTGCTGATAATTTAAAACATTTTGGTTCATAACAATCATTTTATCCCTGTTTGCTTCTCAGTGTTCCATGCAGAATTGGAATCTGTAAGACCCCAGTAGAAGTCACTTCTTCTCAGTTAATTGCAAGTGATGTGTTCCCTCCTTTCATAGTAAAGACTCTTCTCTACCCAGGAGCTCTTGCAAAGGGTCTTTACAATAACAAAACCATCCCAAACTTCGGAAACCTCCTCAAGTTATACAAATTCAATTCAAGACAAACTACCCCAACATCAGATCTCCATCGCCTAGAGGTTAGTGATTTCACAGAGCTTCATCTGTGCCTAAAGTGGCTAAGCTTATTGGTAAAAGAAAAATATACTTTTTGAGGGGGAAAACTGCATCTATATCAGTAAATGCCAAAAGTTTAGCTGTCAGTTGAATTTAGGTTGATCCTACAGGTTTTAGCAGGAAGCTACTTGTCTGTCGGAGGAGCAATTATGGGTCTGATAAAACCAGGGAGAATGGGGCTCTTTGGAATACTACTTGTCATATGGGGTCTAATTAGAGAATCCATTATGTTCCAATCTGGTTTGGATGAAGCAAAAGCTGCTCATATTGGTCCTGCTATGTGGGTTGCACTTGTTTCTGCATTCTTGTCCATTAGAAAGGATGTTAGAAAGATCATACGTACTTTCAAAGGAAGCCAAACGCTGAAGCACAAATATGTCTAGCAGAAACAGGATGATTTAGCTGTAATACTTGGATTAATCTGATTGGTACGTTTCGTTCACTCCTAATGGCAATCATGAATGAATTGTTGATATTTGACTACCTGATTCCATTGTTCATTGCCATTGAGTATTGAGAAGAGACAAATAGGTACCAGAATTATTAGGCTACACCGTACAGTTTACTGTGCAATGATGATGAACTCATTATAGTCTTCTAAAAAAGTTTTTTATTCTGGATTAAGTTAGATCCTAAGCTTACTCAGTTTTTTATATATTCAATTTTTTTATGTGAAATATCTTTGGAAAAATTAATCTTTTAATCCTTTAATTTTAACTCACTTTTAACCCAATCCCTCAACTATGACTCACTGCGATTTAATCTCTTAACTTTTGATTTACCTATAACTCGGTCCTTATTTTTTTAATTTTTTTTTTAAATTTCTTATCAAATAAGAGGAATAAAAAATGCTCATATATTATTTTAAAATACCCTCCTCTTGCTTATTGATGTGAGATATAAACTAATATAAAAAAAAATAACAAAAGTTAAGAGACTAAGTGATTCAAAAGTTGAGGGATTGAGTCATAGGTGAGTCATAGTTGAAGGATTGAGTCACAGCGAGTCATAGTTGAGGGATTGAGTCACAAGTAACTTAAAAGTTGGAGGACTAAAACATTAATTTTTTCAATATCTTTTTTCTTCAAATCAGAAATGGGTGCTGACCCACTCAGCAAAGAATTAAGGAAAATGTGTCTTGAGTGGAATAATAAAGAAATCTGTTTCCATGGGATAATATCATAATATTATATAATCACTTAATCAGATTCAGCTCTGTAAGTATTACCCGATTGCATCCAACTAAGAAGACATCTTGAGACCTCCATATATAGGCTTGTATCTTTAAAATTTTAACCCATTGATAAAGAAAAGGCTATGAATATATAAGCTAGATAACATACAGCTAGCTCCAAGGGAACACCAATCTTCATAAAAGCAAACACAGTTATGGAGTCACCATGGGTTCATCTTTTTGTATAATCCACAATGTGCTTTATAAAGCGTATTTTTAAATTCATGTATGGAATCCAATGTGAGTTGTTCCTTGTTTGGTTGATGCATAAGTGAACTAGACCTCATTATAGATCAAATGACATACTTAACCCTCTTATATATATATATAATCCAAGATACAGTCCTTAGTCCATAACTTTCACTCAGGAAAAAGTACTAGATCATGATTTCAGGATATATGAGAAAAGAAAAAGAGATTCATTTTCACTAAAACCACACACGCAAGTACAATAATTAAGTGAACTCCAGCGCAAGAGACTAAAGAAAAAGTATATTAGGAACACCAAAATCACATGGCTATAATTCTTTAACTAGATGCTAATCAAAGGGATGTGGCTTCTCTGTCATACTGGCTCTGGACTTTCCTTTTCTGATTTCTCACTCTTATCATCACTTTTGATCATCCCCAAGAAATTAATAAAGAAATCTTCCAACTTGATTCTCTAGTATTACAACAGAACATCTTCCGTCACTAATCGCTATAATGCCTGAAAACAAAGCCATGAAATACTGTAATCAGTTTATAATTACTGTGAGCATAAGTAGAGACCAAAAATATATAGACTTTGAAGAACATAATATATTTTATACCAAAAGTGGATGATCTCAATTCTAGTATGTGTCCCTTGGGGCACTGCATTTAAAGCATTCCGTTCTGCTTGCAAAGTTATGCTCATTGCACCCTAACCTGTTAAAAAAAAAAAACCAAAGATTGTGTCAAAGTCATGGAACTTGCGGGGAAAAAATATATTCAAACGGGGTAGGGAAGGATGGGAAGGAAACTTTATCTTGCACTTAAAATCACTATCAGAGAGAGAGAGAGAGATTTCTAAAGCACTTATCGAAATGATTATCAGAGAGAGAGAGAGAGAGATTTCTAAAGCACTTATCGATATCCTAAAAGCGGTCAAAGAGGGCCCCATTGAAAATCAAAATGCATGGCTGTCATGCTTAACATTTCTTTTCTGTGTTACTTGTTCTTTCAAAGACAGCAGCCAAAGCAAAAAGCAACTTGTACCCTTAAAATGAATCAATTATCAAAAGATATTTTTCTGTTAGCAGACATTAGATACTTTATATGTGCTCATCACTGTTTTCACGTTTTGAGTTATAACACCTGGTGTTTATTTCTGTTATAAATTAAAAGACATCAAAACATAGAAGTATATACAAGCAATTATCAACTCTTGTTTCTGTTTGAATTGGGGTGTGTTTAAAAGCGAATGCGTAAATGATTAAATAACACCTCACATATATAACTGACATATAGCTATAGTTTAAGCATATAATTACCTATTGCAAATCCAATCACCAGATTTCCAGGAAGGTCTTGTAGAAGTAGGAGCAGAAGCAAAAGGTCTAGAGCGCAGAAAATCAGTGTTGAAGGAAGAAGAAGATAACAAGTCATCTTTGAAAGCACCACACTTGAAGCAGCTGGAGCGGCTGGCAAAGTTATGTGCTCCACAATTATTAGCAGCACAATACCAGTCTCCAGGACGAACATCTGATGATGAACTTGATGATCTCCCTCCTCCTCCACCATAATATTCTCCATACTTTGATTCTCCACATCTCTGGCACGATTCTCGCCTCTGAAAGTTCATGTGCTGACATGACTTGCAGTTCCAATCTCCTGGCCTGCTGCTCATTCTGCATTATATATTTATATAATCCATAATAAGTACCCATATGTTACATACTGTATTATGCACCATATCTGAGATGTGCCGAAATATGGAGAATGTTGTTATTCTAAATGCTCGTGAACTTCAAGTGATATGTTAAACACGCACGTACGTGCGCATGCACACACACACACTCACATACACATCATGTAGTTCTTTATATGTATTACAGAGAGAGAAAGAGGGAGATCATGTTAGAAGAATAGAAGGGCATACCTGAGAAGGATAATAATGGAGTAACTGAGTTGAATTATGTATGAGAAGAAGGAGATGGAAAGAAGTGATGAGAAAATGAGAAATGAAAGAATGGTTTATATAGAGGAGAAGAGAGAGAGAGAGAGTAAATGTGGGGCGTGAAGTACTTTTGAGAGGTGGTCGAGTGGCAAACTTTGATGCAAAATAGATCAATGAATTGAAATCCAAAAGAAAAAAAGAGAGATAAAGTTGAGGTGGTGAGTGTGTGTGTGTGTGTGGCATGCATGCTTCAATTAGATTCCAAAGAGAGCAGGGTGATGATTTCAATACATATATTTTGAATACGTCTTTTTTTTTTTTTTAGGCAGTGGACGACAACTTCATTTTGTTGCCAGTTTCTTAAGATTAGTGTACGGTTATATCTGCAAATTTTATAATAAGATCAACGTTTATTTATTTTGCTCCTTTCTCTAATTAACTTCAACATCACTTCACTTCTCCCTCATTCCCTTATCTTCGGCTTCTATCATATGAACCCAGCCCTTAATTTCTCAGATTTGGATTTTGAGTGTCTCGAATTTTCACATCCAATAAGTGTCCGCTTTGTAGTTGTAAGATTTTATCAATGTTTAACAATTCATGCTTGACCATAAAATAAATGAAATGATGGGTTAAAGGGCGGTTTTGTGAAGATGTATTTTAGCCCTTTCTCTACAACCATATGAATCATTATATTAAGATATATGACATAACAAAAGGTAGAGCTAGGATTTGGTATTGTTTGTATATCTTGTGCCAACGTCTTTTACAATCATTTGATTGAATCAGATTTTTATAATACTATATGAGATTCCCGCCATATAAGAAAATTTGAAACACAACTAAATTCTCGGACTTCTCTGCATCTTTCTCATTTTCTCTTCTTCATTTCAGCTTGTTAACTCTGTTTATGGTTGCTTCTATTTCACATTTCAACTTTCAAGCTCAATTTTATTTATTTATTATTTTTTTGAGAAAACTTAGAAGCATATATAGTTACACACACATCTATGCTCTTTGTTAAATTAGGAGTAGTGCGTATATTCGACTGAGCTGTGATTTGGTTTTGTGAAGATGTATTTCAATCATTTTTCTACTTTCATATGAATCATTAGATTAAGGTTTTAGGCCATAACAAAAGGTAGAGATGTGATTTCATGTTCTTTGTGTATCTTGTGCTAATGTTTCAGACAATCATTTGAATGAATCAATATATGATTTCTAAAATGCTATATGAGACGATCATGGAATAAGAAGATTTGGAACATTTATTGAATCTAGATCCGAATGTTAATTTCTCTTCATGTTTCTCATTTTCTCTCCCCTTCATTCATGTATGTTAACTCTGTTTATGATTGCTTCTATATCATGCTTCAACTTTCAAGCTCAACTTAAAAAAAAAAATCAAAAAACTTAAAAACATACATATATGCTCCTTGTTAAATTAAGAGTAGTACATATACAATTGACTGAGCTTCGATATACACGAAATGATTCACATGGATTCAAATTCCTAACATACTAGAAATTCAACTGGCATAATTCAAAGTAATTATTTTCTTAATTAAAACAAAATAAATAAAAGAAACCTATATGTTAGTATTAACACTGCTCATAAATTGCAAGGTTTTCTTGTAACAAAGAAGACCAATATCTCAGGGAAAAATAGAATAAATTTTTTAAACAACATAAATAAGTCATTCATATTAAAATTTGTACTAGATAAATTTATTTAAAAAAGAGCAAAATTAAAATTGTACCTTATTTGAATATGCAATTAAGATTGAGGCTGCTGCTAAAGCATGCTAATATTGTAATGTGTTTATAACTATGCCAAAGTTGGAAGCATAAAAATGCATACACTAAGTTAATAAAGAAATGAGATATTTTAATTGGGAAGGCAAATACATAATATACAATTAAAATAGTTCCCAAACACATATTTCAAAAACCAGGCTTTAAATTATTTTTACTGTTAACTAATCTCAACAAATTAATTATCGTAACATGAAATGGAAAATTGATTTCTTTCAGTAACAAAAGTTAGCTAAGCCAACAATTGAAGACCCGCACAAAAAGTGTAGGGATGATTGTTGTAACCTAATGGAGGAACAAACATATTGTACAAAGATCTAATCAATCACATATACCAATAACATGAACCCTAGAAAGCCGATTTGACCATGGAATGTTATTAATTTGTGGTAATTCTAATAATTAATATATATAGTAACAGAATCCATACCATTCAAAATGTGTTCAAAAAAGGGCAAATAGAGTTAGAGGACGTGGCCTCTTGTCATTGGACAATGAAAAGTCATAATCATAAGATTGCTCACATGTAATGAATGTACTAACATCCCAAGTAATTTAAATATTCCTTCAGGACCTCCATAATATAAAGGTAGAGAATATTGGTATAGTGGCTGCCAAAAATATAACGCCTTAAAAGCGTGGATAGAGTTTTTGAAACTTTGGGGCGTGGCCCTTCACAAAATTAGTTGGAATATGTGATATTTTTTCTTTGCCGAAAACAAATATATAAAATAGATAAGCATAAATTCTGCATGACTTGTTCCATGATTCATAATTCTGTTGCCTACTAATTTAATAATATAATATTCACCTATTAGTTTAAAACAAAATATATTAATTTTTATATAAATCTCCTTGTTTTGGCTAGCTGGTTAACTAATCTAATTCAAATGGCCTCACCACTTTCAGAAAGCAATTTGTCATTGATAAATCAAATCTAAAACTCATAAATATAAAAAATGTACCAATGATTTGTCATTGATATAAATTTGTATATCATTAACAAACAATATTAATAATAAAATTTCAGCAAAAATTATAAAATTATTTATCGTTGATATCCACAACATTACAAATACTTAAGCAGACAGCTAACCCAATATTTTATAGAGAAAAATTATTAATATTTGACTTATTTAAAACATTCATTAAATATTCTATATAAGTTCTTTTTTTTAGCAACATTTTTATATAAGTTCTTTAATAATAACAATTAAAATTTATATTTTTTAAAAGGAATAATAAATGAAATAAGGATATAGTTAGAAAAAATATAAAAACTACCCAATATCTTTTTTTTTGGACTAAACAAAACCTCTATAAAACGAGTAATTTATATTTATAGAATTGAATGTGTGTGTATAGTATTTGAAAATCATAAAAAATTAATTTAATAACCCAAAAATTATGTATCCTGAAAAGAGCCAAGTCTCTTTCAAATTTTCTTTGGGAACCAACAGTGTTTGGGATAAAATGCTTGTACTTTACTGCTTGAATATTCCTTTATTCTTCTCCTAATAAAGTAGAAAAGAAAAAGTAATGAATTAAAGGTATTTAAATAGAAATAAAACTCACTGACTCCATCTAATTATAAGTTTTCAATAATTGAAAGAATTCTTTCACATGCTACAGTGCCTAACACACACACAAGGAACTCATTTATAAGATATTATTAATATTCATTATAAGGTTGTTCATTATGAAATGTATTCATAATAAGTAGAATTCTAATTCAAGATGGAGTGCCTCCTTTTAAGACAGTCTTTTATCTTATTTTTATTTATTTAATAATTTGATTGAAAGATATTTTGAAAGAATTTGAAAGCGAAAACAGAGAAGAAGATTAAAAAATAGCGGGGAAAAAGAAAAAAGAAAGAGGAAAAGAAAAGGCGAAATGGCGAGTTTCAATAAAGGCAGAGGATGATGGAACGAGTCCTTGAGGCCAACATTTTGACCATCTTTTTCTCTTCCTCTGTTGCCGCTGCGGCTCTCTCTCTCCCCCCTCCCACCCTTTCTCTCTAAGCCTAGCTTTATCTATAGCTGTACAAAAGTCCTACAATTAGATTCGACCCAATTCTATTTAAGATGATCCTATTTAATTTTTATAAACATCGATCTTTTAACATTGAAAAGATTAAAAAGGTCAGATTATTTTTTTGGATTAGACTGAATAATAGACTGGGCATCTAAATCATTTGATTCAATTTAATTCTATTAATTTATTAATATAATTATAATTGATTTATTTTTAACAAATGCTTCAATTGTAATTGACGCTAAGGAGATAATTACATGAAAATTTATTAAATTTATTTCTAAATTATTATTGTAATGTAGTGTTATTGAAATTTATTGAATGTTGTTTTTGTTAAAGTTATAAATTTAAATCATTTAGACTGCAACTGAAATATTTTTTTCTTATTGTTGGAAAATAGTTAAATGAGTACTAAATTAACAGGATCAGTCTTTTAGTCATATAGACCAAGTTCAGTCCTGTTAATTTTTGGGTTATCACTAGACAAGACCAGACTATGGGTTGTCTAGCTTAGTCCTTTTCATGAAAGAGACTATCATTCAGGTTAGGTCGAAGTCCAGTGTCATCCAATCCTTTGTGTAGCTCAAGCTTTATCTATGCCTCTTCCTTGAAGGAAAAAAAAGTTAATTTTTTTTTGTGTAAGCACCTAATATTCTAAACATATCTCATTTGAGTTGTGAAGATTTAATAAGATCTAGACTAATTCAAATTGAAGCATGACAAGCACTTTAAAGGAGCACCCTTGGCCACCTACGCTGTTGTATTTTCAAAATTCAAACTCGAGATTTTTAGTTAAGCTACAATAACCTTTATAAGTTGATCCAAATGTTGGTGGTTGTAGTGTATGCTTGTCGTGTATATGTAGAAGAGGGAGGGAGATAAAAAGTGTACTGTGATATACTTGTGTGTACATATAGTATCCAATATTTGTGTGCGTTACATTCTATAGTATACAAATGAATATATGATGGGAGGAGATTTAATTTTTTTTGTATATTTATATTATATATAATATAAAAACTATAAAAAGTGATGCTATTCATGAATTATGAAAAGTGTGTCTCATTTCTCATATTCTCTACAATATATAGAATCCATATTTGGTATATGTAATTGTCGGTTATAGAATAAAAAGAATCTATTTAGATATTTAAATCAATTTCTTTCTTGTTACTTAAAAAAAAAAAGAATTTGAATGCATGATCAAGTGCTTTGTTTTTCTTATTTCTTTGTGTTTTTATGAATAACATTTGTGTTGCGACTCCAAAGACTTATAATTTCTTTGAGTTGAAAGGTGTGCGTTCTCTTGGAGAAGGGTAAAGGAAAGCACAGAGAGTAAAAGAAAAATTCTCCTGGGGACACATGATAATAATTATTCTATTACTCTATTTTGAATTTCTAGTTATATATTCGACCATAATTGAATATTAAATATTAAACACATATCTCAACAGAAATTTAAATATTAGTTAGTCTTCTTAAAACATCTTGAATTTTGGACTAAAAATTCAAAAATATCTTAGAATTCAGTAAACTATTAAGCTCAAGTAATTAAGAATTCCTAAGATGTCTTGAAAAGTTTTCTAAAGTGAAAATGGAATATTTTCATTGATTTCAAGGAAGTGCAAATTAATAAATGAGCAATAACTTGATGATTGATTTGTCAATTTTAATTTATAAGCTTCAATTTTTATTTCACCCGAACCATATCATTTCTAGATGCGTAAGTAAATTATTAAAAATGAAAATTTAACATTGTGAGATACTAATTCATTTCATTAGACTCAATTCTCATCAGTTGATGATATTTCTTTTAATTAATAATGATATAATGGAATATTGGGATGCTTTTAAACAATTAAAATAATTTAACAGTCTTTATTAATTTATGTGAAAAATGTTTGAAACATGTTGGCACTTTCAGCAAGCATGAATGTATTCAATTTTGTTTTGTTTTCTCTTTGCCTATCAAATCAAATATTAATCGGTCATTGGAAATCTATGTCGCTTGTCTCTGATCCTATAGAATAGTCCGTGATTTTTGAAACTTGAGACATTTATACTCTATTAAGAAGGAGAGAAAATAATAGAGAATTCTTAATTGTTTCGAATGTTGCTGTTGTTATTAAATTTTGTAAATCTTATTATTAAACCCTAATAATATATTATTAAATTTAAAGAATTGGTTACCATAATAATTTTTTAAAATCTTTTTTTAATCTTTAAATATGATGTTTTTATTGCATGGTTCTCTACTAGAGAAATTTGAACACCCATTGCGTTGCATGTGATCGTGATTATTAATAATGAATTTTTTAATAACAGTTCTGATAAAAAAAATTGATTTTGAATGAAAAAAAGTAACCCATGTGGTCAATATTGGTAAAACATTGAAAGTCTACCCAGAAATATGGAAGTTTGTGAACGAAATAATCATCATGAAATAATTATGTATATAGATATTTAAATAAATAAGTTTAAAATTTTGGGTTAAAATTAATGAAATTTAAAAAAATAAATAGAAGTTATACTGAGCAATTTATTATAGAGATTTTTTGCATATATAACTCATGGTACATGATTAAATAAAAGTAATAGCCCAAGATTTTTTAAATTTAAATGATGGCCGTTTTAATATTTAACTGATATCTAAATAACAAATATACCTTTAAAAATATTATACCCTTAATACACTCACTTTTCAGTGTGTGTGTGTGTGTGTGTGTGTGTGTGTGTGAATAATATGGAGAAAAGTTATTTGCTCGGGGCAGAAATCGAAGACTAAAGGTGTGTGTGTGTGTGTGTGAATAATATGGAGAAAAGTTATTTGCTCGGGGCAGAAATCGAAGACTAAAGGCGAGGAGAGAGATGAACTACAGAGTTCACGGCGGCGATCCACAGAGTTCACGGCAGTGAGGGTTTCCTGACTTTTTAAACCACATTTACAAAATAAGATTTCTCCAAATTTGTTTCTCAACATCGCTAATATAGGGTTCCATATCAGTTTTTTCTTTTTTTTTTGGTTCAATCTATTGTCTATTCGAGGCAGTGTAGCAGCCTGAGGTTGAAGCATCCATGTGACAAAATGATGAAGAACATCGAGATATGGAGACTTAGGTCCAACGGGCCATTCTTTTGTCGATCGGTGATATGATATTTTCACCGATATTGATGCCATAATCTCTATGTTGATGTGTTGAAAAACTTTGTATTCTTCGACTTATTTGTCTTTGTAATTCTAGATTTCGTTAATTAACAAAGAAAATGACTCAAAGAAAAACAAGATTACAAGTTTGGAACTCCCACGTTGCTCCTTCAAGATATTCATAAAGATTCTAAAACCTTATGAGTGTATTTTTGATCAATGATCATAAACATGGAAGTTATTTGGAAAGAAAAATATGTGCCCATATCCTTTAGAATTCTTGATTGTAACGTGTTTTACTCCATAGTTGCTCATTCTAATCTAGAGTTTTAAAGGATCTTTGTACTACTAATTTTACATGTTGAGAACCATGATCGTAATAAGAAATAAATATTTATTCTTGAAGATTGCCATTAATGTATAGGATTGTTTTTGTATTCACAATTAGCCCAGATTGAACCATGCTTCAATTGTCTTGTCTTTGCTCTATATATCAATCATATATATCATGTTAAATTTTCTTTTTTGTTTAAAAGTAGTTATTAGAGAAAATTGGCCACCCCTCCAAAAAAATATTGTGCAAAAAATATAGACTAAATTTTTAAAAATTAAAAAATATAGCCGGTTCACATTCATATACAAGATTTTTATTATTGATATTAAAGGTGTTTATCATTGAAAATTTCAAAATTTACGAGACTTATCATTGATTAATATAATAAAATGACCATAATGCAAACAAACCAATATGTATTATTTATTATATTTATCAATAATATATCGTTATATATGATTGATAAACTCCTAGTAAAATTTTAAATTTTCAATGAGAAACATCTTATATATCAATGATAACACCCTTGTATATCAAGATGAATAGGTCGTACTCTCAAATTTTTTAAAATTTAGTCCATATTTTCAAGGTATAAAGATTTATTTTTTAAGCCAGTGGGCTAATTTTCTCTATAAAATATTGGGTTAGTTGTCTATTTAAGTGTCTGTGATGTTATGGATATCAACAATAAATACTTTGTAAATTTTTGCTGAAACCTTATTATTAATACTGTTTATCAATAATATATGAATTTATATCAATAACAAATCATTAGTACATTTATTATGCTTGAAGGTTTCTGATCTGATTTACCAATAACACACTACTTTCTGAAAGTGCCGTTCGTGAGGCCATTTGAACTCGAGCAGTTGGCATGCTGGCAAAAGCTAGGAGATTTATTTAAAAAATATTGCATTCTATTTTAAACTATTAGATGAATATTATATCATAAAATTTGTCGGTAATGGAATTATAAATCATGGAACAAGTCACGCGGAATTTATATATGCTTATCCATTTTAGTTGTTTGTTTTGGGCAAAAAAAGAATATTACATTTCAACTAAATTTGTGAAGGGCCACGCTTCAAATTTTCAAAAACTCTGTCCTCATTTTTTAGGCTATATTTCTCACCGTCACTCTGTCAATATTCTCTTTATTTTTATTAAATAATTATTTTATTTCTAGAAAAAAAACCCTTTTTTGCATTAAGTTTTTTAATTCCGTTTTTAATAAATATATCCACAAAAAATTAAAATGTACATTAAAAAGATGTGCATTAAAATTTTTTGGGTAAACATGATTGATTTTTAGACAACATTTATGTTTAAATAGGAGTCCTTTGATCTAATGTATTTAAATTAACAGTAAGCAAACGATTAAATGGATGGTAATGAAAACTTAAAAATAGATGGGTGTTTGTGTTTTGTAACTACTCATATTAGAAAAAATTTATATAGATTTTAAAAATAAAAAGAAAATATATGTAATTGATGTAAAATAAAAAGGAAGTCAAAGTGCTCTCTAATCTTTTATGGCTTGCTTAGCACAGAAAAATGTTTTTGGTGGAAGTGAGAGTAAAAAATGAAAGTAGAAATAAAAGTATAAATGGAAGAGAAGCTTCTCATCAACAAGGAATTGAGTTCTTTAGTTTTTTACTTACTAGGTTCCATGGAGAACTAAGATCATGATACAAAATAGATAAAAGTACTGATTATACTTTCGCTAGCACTTCCACTTCCACCTTTTTTTTTTTTTTGAAATTGAAAGATAGGTCAAAGGACTTGAAATTTAGTTACTCACATACGGTTGATCAGCCCACAAATAGGCCATGCATCCATCCACCAATAGGCTGATTCAAAATGCATAACTCAGCATTAATATTATGCACATCCTTAGCCAGGCAATCAGCTACCTTCATATTTTCCCAATTGGAGTAGAAAATCTTCACTTCACTAATCAAGAAAATCAATTTCTATATCTCAATAATATCTGACCTTAAAGCTTTGTTTGGTTAAAGGAGAGAGGAGGAGAGGGAAGGAGGGATCCTCCCAATTTGGGAGGGGGGAGGGTTTGGAGGGGAGGGGACCCTCCAACCAAACACTACCTAAACGATGATTCAATCCCCCACACTCTTATCTCCTCCAACTAAATACTACCTAAAAGATGATTCAATCCACCACTAGTCCATAGTAAATGGATAGCTTATAGTGAGTTAGAATACCACTTCCACGTCTCCATTTCCCATCCCAATTCTTTGTTACCAAACGTGCCATTAGATAAATGTAAAACTTGATTAGATTTACTGTAAAGCTTCAAGAGTGAGAAACTTAAGTGTAAGAGCCAAAATTCAACGGGAGTCATCTAATTTTTTGTTCATATTTTTGTGACTTCATGGCTTAAGTTCATTTCAAGACTAATTTTTATTTTAAATTCATTTACTTTTAACTCAATTTTTTGTCATCTTAAACTTCATTCAATTCAAACTAAGCCGCCTATGGCTGAGGGAATTGCAGATATCCTCAAAAAGAAAAAAAAATGCCATTGCAAGTATAATAAAATAAGAATGATTTGCATTCACAAACGTGACTCAAATAATTTACTTTAAACTCGATGAGAAAATGTATCAAAAGATTCAAACTTCGAGACAAATAACAATATATTGTGTTCCTGGAAAAAAAAAATAGCATGTCATTAAAAACAAAAAATGACTTCAGATTCCAACTATTTGGAAATCAAGATCACAAAAACACCATTGACGTAGCCAAGTGTTGTTTATCTACCAAAATCATGGAACCAGAAAAGCTTCCCCGGGAAGTGGCGTTCTGTAGAGTTAAACAAGAAGCTTGTGTTCCCACAATCTACAAATCCGCAAAAAAATTGTTGGAGCCATTACTTTCATTCTTTCTCTTGGTCCCTGCAAAGGCAGCAATATAAAATGAAGTGCAAGAAATAACCTCCCAACAATCATACCATGTCTGCTACTTTCAAGACCAAACAGTCAGATTAAACAGAATCATTCTCTCAAAGGCATCACAAGTAATAGGCCTTTTATAACATCTACAACTACAACCATACTGATCATACCTTTATCACTCTTACAATGGTTAGCATCTACATCCATCTCATCCTTGTCGCTATCAATCACCTCAGCTTCATTCCTCTGTGTGCTTCTCGAACCTTGTATCAGATCATCCAAGTCCCATAGCTGCCATCAAACATGAATCAACTAATAATTACCATCCAAGTGGTTTTGAATTTTTTTTGGCAGCCAACCACCTCATCTAATATCACTAAATAATTACCCAAGTGAACAACAGCCATCAACATGAATCAACTTATCTATCCATTTTCTTTTTCATAGATATTTCCACGTGTTTTTGGCACAGTGAGCAATTCCATTCTACTTTGGCTGAGAAGATGCGTGAAAAAGTGAAGTTAAAAGTGTACCTTTAAAGTATGATCATGTGCAATACTGCCGAGGTACTTTCTATCATGAGAAAAAGCTACAAAACCAAAGAAAACCATGGGTCAACGTTGCGAGATCAAATTAACCAGGCCACATCATCCAGCTTAAGGCCAGGACCCAAGTCAAAACATAAAAGCAGACACATTGCTTGTGAATAAACATACAATATTGTGGACAGCAAGACGGACCAAGAAATGAAAAGTAATCTAACAGAAATAAAATTACAGAAAAATTGCTTTGCTACAGCAATCAATCTGAGATGCTTGTTGAAGCAACGGAGGCTCGACACAAGTGAATCCCACCGACAGAAACAGCAAGATTCAAATTTTACAAAAGCGACTATATTACCAAGACGTTCAATAGGATATTCTGAGTGTTCTGCAATTGGTTGGATGATCCTGTTGGGTAATATTCCGACCAGACTGAGCGAAAAAGAATAAAAAAAAAATTATTAATGTAGTTGGAAAAGCATATCAATGAACGTAGGATAGAATCATGACCAAATCCAAGGCAACAATGCCCTCATACAAAACAGCCTCACTTGATTAACCCATTCTCTGATCCAGTTATGATCCGGTCCTCATCAAGCTGAAATTGAAATACACAAATTTTGTTGATTGACCATGAAATAATATAAAAGCCTACTGATGCTGAAATAATCATGACACCCACTCACCTTCAACAAAGCATCAATAGAGTTTGGTGAGAGATCAATAAACCGATCACTGAACATCAAAGCCATCAAGCAAGAATATCAGTTATAGAGCCAAACTCAGCACAGCAGTAATGGAGAGAGAACATTGAACTAATTCCCCTTCTTACTAAGAACAATTTACTTCATCAATTGCAAACCAGTGTCACATCAAGTACCTGCAGTCCTGGAAATATCCCCATGAATACAGTAATAGGGTTCCAGTTTGTGATCCACAGACAATTTTCCGACCGTTCTGGTATTAAAAAAAAAAAATTCACATCAGCTAAGTGGCAATTCTAAAGAATACGAGATAAAGCTGTCCCTCTGAAACAGGGAATTAAACTTCAAAATGTATATTTCACGCACCAAATTACAGAATGTCCGAAGTATATTTTATTCTCAGGACCATCCTTTGAACATATTTCAAGGCATCCTACCAACCTTTATGCGCAGCTCTAATAAGTTCATCTAATAGTATTGTTTATCCTATTTCAAAGAGATACAAGGACTGTCTCTTTCTGATAGGGGAAGGCATAATGAATTCAGAATGAAACTTTGTACAACTTTTTTTCCACCTTATATTTGAAAAATATTATTCCATAGCTACTTTTCCAACAGTTTACTTAATTTATTCAACTAAAGCACTAGTAACTTCTGAGTTCACAATCACAAGGTCCTCTGCACTTTGCTGTTTCACAACCAAAGACAGATAGGTACCTCCCTCAATGCATAACCAAGAGAAAGATCAACTGAGAATGCAGTACCTTCATTATAACAATAGACAGCAGCTCATCTTCTGAGAACTCAGATTGAGCTTGGACCTATCAGTAGAAGAAAATAAAGGGCAACTGTCATAAAAAAAATTAGGGGAAAAAAGGAAGCCTTAGATGTAAAACTTACTTTATTTCTTCGAAGATTGCAAACAGAGAGAGTCCCATCTCCACTTCACATGGAAAATAAATTCACAAAAAAATTCAGCATCCATCAGTAATCAAAGGCAATAGAAAAAATAGGGGGAAAACAATTGATGCAGTGCACGCAAGTGTATCTACTTAAGGTAAACATATAAAATTTCAGTAACACTAGATTGACAAGGGAAATAAATAGTACCTTGTTCCCAACAGTTTCATTGCATCAGATGCAAAAGTCATGTCTGAAATGTAATCTTCATGAGCATTAAATGAGTTGCAACAAGAACGTTGTCTAGTATCCCACACCTGCAATGAGAAAAAAGCTAATTAAAAGGTAATAAGGAGACATTTGGTCTCTCCTTGAATGCATAAATTAAATATCACAACCATCAACAGCCACAGGTGGCTTTGCCGAAAAGAAACAGTTACTTCAACAAGGGATATTCTGGGGGGAACATAACAGGAAAAAAAATAAATAAATAAATAGCACTGTGTTTAAATATGAAAAGTCCATAAGAGAGACCATCCACTGCACCATATGGCTAAGTATAGAAAGTCTTGACAAATAGATGATAACAGCAAACTGCATTCTAACTCCTTGCTAAGTAGTCCCTCCAGTCTTGTTTATAGGACATTTTCTAAAAATAATTCTTGGTCCAGAATATAGGATATTTTGCAATAACTAAACTACTTTTTCCAATTTTACCCTTTCTTCATTAGCATGAAGGTATTTAATGTAGTTGTATCATTATTTAAAACCAGGGGTAAAAGTAAAAGTACATATAATTTTTTTATGATATCAAGGAAAAAAACTATTTTTTTTCCCTTAAGATGCGGGAAACGGTTGAAAGTGTCTTCTAATAAGAACCGGAGGGAGTAAGTCATATATTTGAGGTATATAAAAAAAATTGTATAGATTATTTTAAATTAGTTTGCATAAAAACGCACAACAATGAACAAACCATAACTCATGAAGGATTACGAAATTCACAATTGATCAAAAAGATGTGAGGAAAAGAGTAAATCAGTCTTTAACACTCCTCCCTTGACATGTAAAAATAGAATGAGACACTAGATACAAGATGTTCTCCATAGCATAATTTCCAATTAAGAGCAAAAACACTATTATATGAAATTAAATAAAGAAGTTACCTTAATACACCCTTCATCATCTCCAGTAGCGACAGTTGACTCAGTCAAATTTATCAATCTATTGACTGCAGCGCTGCATTATAAAACAAAACTGCATAAAACTTTGGATTTAATGATCATGCTCAGCATTTACACGAGTTAATGAGAGAAATCCACCCACCCATGGGCATTATCTAGACGGGCGATGGCAGATCCAGTTTCAACATCTGTTGCCAATATTGAGCAATCTGGAGAACCCGTCAACAGAGCTAAAACAGAAGCAACAAGCAATTCAGAGGCCAATTATGCTCAAGAAAATATCAATATCAAACAACCCCATTAATAACAACAACAACAACAACAACAACAGAAAAGAAAGAATGTCAGTGAAACTACAATGCATTACCACGTCCATCATTGATGAACCGAACAGCTCTGCAAGACTCAGCGTGCGCCTGAACTTCCAACAACCTGGCAAGACCCCAATTTACTATATGAATATAAACAGCAGCAAATGCATGCAAATGTGTAAAAATTGGAAGCTGCATAAAATCATAAAGCATGTGGGGCAGATATCCAACAACGATAAAAACAAGAATATGTGAACTTCCAACAACCTAGCAAGACCAAATTATACTAGAGCAACTAAAAGAAGAAAATTGATCCAAACAGGGATGAAATTTGGAGACAACAAAGGTCATTATCCATGCAGGTCAACTATCCAACTACAAAAGCAATGAGATATTCAATGTAATACCTTACAGGTGCGCTGTCAGGGTTATATCGGTATCTGCCAGGGGGAGAGTTCAGAAATATATTAAAAAAAAAAAAGGATACTTAAACAAGAAGTTAACAAAAGAAGCATGTAAGAGTGGAAAATTGAAACTTTAGTCTACTCACAGGTGAAGGTCACCATTAATCAATCCTGCAGCAACAAGCTGATCCGATGAATGAAAGTCAATGTCAAATGGAAGCTTCCCCAAATCTATCTCCATTTAATTTACTTGTAGCAGCCTCTGTTTTTCAGAGGGTCCCAAATCCTGAAGAGGGCTAAAATCCCAGCCGCAGTTTCTGGATTTACCAGGCATCAATCAGGTCAGCGACTTAAGGGTGATCAACAACAAACAATACATATTGAACGGAAACAAATCAAACCAAACCGAACTGCGGAAAAAAGCAAGCAAGCCAACAAAACTAACTATAAGTGAGGTCAGGTTTGGTTTTTATTATGCTAAAGCCAGCAAACCGTGAGTTCATTGGCTATTGCGTCATAAAGCACAACATTTTATGGCTAATTCATATTCTGGTTTCTCTCTCTCTCTCTCTCTCTCTCTCTCTCACACACACAACAAGTTATCGGAACGAAACGTTCAGTGCCCTTTCGTCTATGATTGCTGAATTCTCTACTGTGTCTTTGATTCCAGAGCTATTCATGTCCATACAACTATGATGGCAACACCAATGAAAAAAGAAGAAACGATATTTCTTTTCTCAAGTAGCCAAAAGAGAAAGAGAAACCAACCCGCCGAAGAAGATGGGTTTCTTTCTGGAAGACGCCGGGAAGAACCGAAGACCGACGAGCGGAGAGTTGGCGGCCGAACATGGAGCGAGCAACCGCAGTGCGTCGTTCCAGAAGGGTTATATTCTTTTTTCTTTTCTTTTTTTTTTTTTAAAGAAAACGGGGCAAAGGGAGGATAATGAATTTAATAATCCAGAAAAATATCCAAATTTTTCCTAAAAAATATTAGAAGAGGTAAGGGGGAAAGTAATGAATTTAATAATCCAGAAAATTTTAATATTAATTTGCAAAAAAAATTAATTTTATTAATCACCAAAACAAAATATTACAAATAACAATAATTAAAAACTAAAAAAATGCTCAAAAAAGCATAAAGTATGGTGCAACACACAACTTACAAAAAAAGAAAAAAGAAAACAAAACAAGATAAAGCAAAAACTAAACAAGGCAAGTTAACCAATGCCTTCTTTGTTTCACTAAAAACTACAGTCAATCGAATGGGAATTATTATCACTCATCAAATCAACAAGAAAAAATCTAAGATAAAGAAAATGTGAATTTAAAAAAGTCATCCAGAACACATCTTTTTAATCTTATCACTTAGTGATGTACCTAAGGTATTTTGTTGGTGAGGACAAAACTTATATCAAATGAATATTAATATTTTTAAAATATAATTATAAATATTTATTAAATTGATAAAAAATAATTTCATTAAAATTAAATGTATAAAGAAACAATAAAAAACTATAAAATTATGATAACTTAAAAAATAAAATTATCTTAATATAAGAAAAAATTATATTGAAAAATGATAGAATAAGTAGTAGCTATTTAATATTATATAGAATAAGTAGTAGCTATTTAATATTATACCTTGGTTTTAGAAAAAGGTACTAATTTCTTATAGTATCATGAAATATAATCCAAATTCTCATCCGATAAAGTGTTTACATTTACTACATAACAAACACCATCTTTAATGGGAGGATACTCATATATATATATATATATATATATATCATACTTTGGTACCTTTTTATTTACAACCTATCCAAGTATTGATATTTTTCATGTAAAGAACCATGCTCTTTAAAATAAATATTTTTAATATAAACAATTGAAAAAACATTCTCTATTTTATTAGAAACTGTTACCATTGGGTATAAATGTGTAGAAGTTAAAAATTAAAGAGTCTATAAATATTTTCAATATATATATAAACAATAGAAAAACCATTCTCTGATTTATTAGAAAGTGTTACCTTTGGATACAAATGAGTAGAACTTAAAAATTAAAGAGTCTAACCTTATCATATTTTCGGAAATAAAGATTAATACTTTATTTGAGAAGTTGAAAGAATATCTAATAATATTTTGTTATATTCTTATATTTATATATAATATGAACCAACTTTCTTTTTAATTTCTCACATTAATATCTACATCTCCTACAAAATTAGCAATACAAATAATATTAACTTTTTTGGTTGAAGAAATAAGAAAATAGGCAGTAAAGAGTGAAGACTGAATTTTTTTTTTTCAACAAAATTAGGTGATGCAAGAGCAAAATTTTTTGAGGAGGGGGCAAGTGAAATTTTCCTTGTTATGACTAAGAAATGAGATTGATGAGCTGCCCCCTCTTGGCATAACTGTTAAAAAATTAGTAGCTTTATTGCCCTGGCGAGCCATCAGGGAAAACCAAACCCACTTGCAAGATTCATGGACAGATAATATATCCTGCACAAGTTTAGAGCAATAATGCCGATCATAATCCAAACTTGTAAGCATTCGAAACAGCACTTCACAGTCCAATTCAATTGCAATCTTCATGCCCTCAAATCTGCCAATTTCCTTCAAAACTTCCAACACTTATCAGTCGTCATAAGAGGAGAATCAGTTATCACCTTCTTGTTAAGACAACGCAAAAAAGGGCCAAATTCATCTCTGCATACAAAACCAATAATGAAAAGCTTCATGTGCTACCACAATATTATCATGGATCATTAATCTACCCCCAATGAACCCCCTTTGTTGTTGAGTAACACATCTAGTTATTAAAGCCGTCATACGATTAGTCATGATTTTTGATATGATCTTGTACACAACAATACATAATTCGATAGGTCTAAATTGATGAACGAACTCAGGTTTATCAATCTTCAGAATAAGAACAACACTAAATTGTTGTAAATATTGGGGGCTCGTTGCAAGTATCATTTAGAATACTTTTTTGATATAAAGAATGTTTACTTTCTGTTTTTCTTTTTGTATTTTTCGAATTGTTTAAATAAATATACTTGTAAGTTATCTTTTAAAAAAATAATAAATGAGATATTCATAATGTCATTCATTCATGAGAGATATATTAATAATCTTATTCATTCAATTTACAGTCAGTTATTTTTTTGGCATAGAATGAGGCAAAGGCCAAAAAGAAAGTAATCAACATTTGTTGTGAGTTTGAGAAAACATGGGAAAAGTCGATAAAGGATGAAGATACTGAATATCTCATTCATGCATGATAAATTGGCAATTGGCAGGAATGGGGTCAGAAAGGATCAAGTGGCAGTAAAGACAACGGTGGTCAAACAATAATAAACGATAATGATACCCAGAATGTATTTGAGAAAGAATTTCAAAACTCTGATTCTATAAATAAATTAAATAAGATAGTTTCATACCCATCAAATGATAACTCCTCCGAGCTGAAAGTCTTCAAAGTTGAGAAATGGCGTCCAATTATGGGAGTGATATGAAACCAGAAAGGCAAGTGGTGGTGGTTGCAGCACCATTCCCAGCATAAGGCCATGTGAACCAGCTCCTCCATCTTTCTCGTCTAATCTCTGCATATAACATCACAGTTCATTTTGTGGGACGCCCTCCCACAACCATCAAGCCACTCTTCGTATCCAAGGCTGGAATCCTCTTTCCATCCCCAATTTCCATTTCCATCACTTCCACCTTCCTCCTCTCCTGCCTCCTCCCTCCCTCCTCGACGCCCACACCAAATTCCCTCCCCATCTTCTTCCTTCCCTCGTTGCCTCCTCGCATCTTCGTCAGCCCCTCGCTGCACTCTTACGATCCCTCTCGTCTGCTGCTCCCAAGGTTGTCGTCATCTATGACTCCCTCATGGCGTCCGTCGTCCAAGACGCTGCCCATCTCCCAAACGCTGAGACCCATGCTTTTCACAGCGTCTCCGCATTCACCATGTTCTTGTTCTTTCGGGACAAAATGGGCCACCCTCTCGTGCCAGGCATTAATATTCCCACCCGGCAAGTCCCTTCTCTTGAAGGATGCTTCCCCACCCAATTCCTACATGCCATGGCCGAACAGTACGAGTTCCATAAACTTTGCAGTGGAAAGCTCTACAACACCACTAGAGCAGTCGAGGGGCCCTACATGGAACTCATAGAAGGCATCGACTGCCACAGGAAGCACTGGGCTCTCGGACCTTTCAACCCGCTGACAGTTGAGAGGAAGAGCCCTCCGGGCAGGCACTTTAGCCTGGAGCAGCTTGATCAACAAGAGCACGACCCAGTTATGTACGTCTCTTTCGGAACGACCACCACGTTGACGGAGGAACAGATCAAACAGCTAGCAGCTGGGCTGGAAGCGAGCAAGCAGAAGTTCGTGTGGGTGCTGAGGGATGCCGGCATGGAAGACGGTATGGCGGCGCCACGAGAGCCGAGCTTCCAGAGGGATTGGAAGAACGCGTAAAAGGGATTGGTTTGATCGTCAGAGAATGGGCACCACAATTGGAGATACTGGACCACCCTTCAACTGGTGGGTTTATGAGTCACTGTGGATGGAACTCGTGCTTGGAGAGCATCAGCATGGGGGTGCCAGTGGCGGCATGGCCCATGCACTCGGACCAGCCCAGGAACGCAGTTCTGATGACGCGAGTGCTTCAGATAGGTCTAATGGTGCTTGACTCTCTGGGTTCACAGAGATGAACTCGTGGCGGCCTCGGTGGTTGCAAATGTGACGAGAAGATTGATGGCAACGAGGGAAGGGGATGAGATGAGAAAGCAGGCAATGAAGCTGAGAAATGTGGTGCAACAGTCGTTGGAGGAAGGAGTTTCTTCTCGGGAAATGGATGCTTTCATTGCTCATATCACAAGAGTGTAGCTTCTTTCAATTGCTGGATGCTACACCTTTAATTACCATAATAATGAACTATTTTAAAGAGAGATTTGGCAGTAAAGGTCTCTATATATTAAACATGCATGGAATGGAACTAAGGATTTCGAAGCTGTCCTTCTCTCTCATGACCATGTTGACATCCTATTGCTCACTTAGATTTATATAAAATTCCAGATATAATCTAAACAAATTATATAACTACTGCATCTATTATCATCATCTTCTTTTTGAATAATAAACCAACATTATCGTTCTTCTTTTCTGCCGCTCATACAAGATTTGTCTTTTGCCCAAACTTCAGGCGCGACTTAAATTTTCTGAATCTTCTCCCAAAAACGGATCATTGCCATTCGGGGCCCAAAAAGAAAAATTGATCATTGACCACTTTCCATTCCGGTTTTTCTTCTTCTTGTAATGAAGAAGTCTCGAAATTTATACTTCCTCGGCCGCATTTTATGTAAACGTTTTTTGAAAACTAAGTGTGTGAATACCAGTGAAATCAATCAACTAAATATAATTTATATCCTTTTAAGAAAATAATAAACTACTAAAAATATCTTTTATGACGAGAGGAGGAGATGAGGGGAAAAAAAGATGTTTAATAGGTGAAATAGTAAGGAATAATTTTGCAATAAACTTCATTAACAAATCATTACTTTTTTTTGGCCAAAAAAATAATTACTTTTATTTCTCAAAACATTATCTTATATTATAGAATATCAAATCACTCCAAAAAAAAATCTTATAAAATGGGGCAAATTTTTAAAATCCAAGAGAAATGCCTACTAAAACATGCAGCTTTAAGTGCGCAGCCTCATTTCACAGAGATAAAATTTTACATTATTTAGAGAATCTTAACTCTTCATCATGATTCATTGAATCCAACTTATTCAATTAATCTAATTAATGTAGATACATGATTCATATATTTAGGGGCACTTGTGACCTTTAATATATAGTTCAAGAGTAAAAATATCCTTTAATC